GGGGGTATCTAGCTATCATCTCTAGATTGGTTGTAGAGAAGCCAGTGTGTCCTGCAATTTGATCAATAGATTGGAGAGTGGAGTATATTTAATCTTAAATGCAGTTTCTTGAATAAATTAATCTAGTAAACTTTAAGCACTAAAGTCTTTATAGATGATTATATGAATGGATAGTAAATCATTCAAGCTCCTTTTATTATGGCCTTGTACCAAACTAGGTTAAACCTAATCAATATCTAATGATATAAAAATAAATGTGTATACAAAGGTGGATCAGTAAGTCCATAGCTTAGCAGTTATTAAATGAACAATCCAAAAGGTTCAGTATGTAATATTTGAGCTATGTGGTTGACAGAAGTGTCTCATTATATATATTTTGAACAGGAGTAGAGGTTTATCTCTTTTTTCTTGTATAGTATTAAGTTTCTGGTTTCATTTAAAGCCTTTATTCTCTTTTACTACCAGTAGCCTCTTGTCTCTTAGTGGCATTATTGCCTTGCTTGGAGTGAATTGATTAAAAAAAAAAAATGATAAAAAATTGTATTGAAAACAAAGGAGATAATGTTGAAAAATAAATATTTTCTGTAAAATATTTTTCATGGAAATAAATAGCTTAAAAAATAAAAAAATAAAATAAAAAGTTGGTTAATAAATTATCTGGTTTGGTCCATTCCCAGTAATGAAAGTTAAAAAAAAAAAAAAAAAAACAACAATACCATTCATAACAAAAATGGAATGGAATTCTAAAAGTCATACATGAGGATTTACTCCTGCTGCACCACCCTACTGAGCAAAGAAAACCATTCCTGTTCAGTAAGTTGATATATACTGATTCCTTCAAAGATTTATTGCTTGTAAAAAGATAAACAAGGCAAATAAATAAAAAAAAGTTATTAATGATTCAAAAACACTGACATCTGAGATTTAAAGACCTTGAATCATAAATTGAAATTGGTATTGATTAAAAAAAAAAAAAAAATGAACACACATACACATTCATTCTTAATTAGTAGCAAAAACACTGAACTCTGGTATTTCTGCAAGAAGTTAATAAAATTTGGAAAGAAAAAAAAATTATTTTAACAATTGAATGAACAAAAAGGAAAGACAAAAAATTAAGTTCATATCATGGCAAATACCAAAACACCAAACTGTTTACTTTTTTTTTTAGCTGGAAAAATAAAGGCAGAGGCCAATGTTGGCGAGGAAGAAGCAGCAGCACTACCATTTCCATTCTTGTTAGTAGACTAAAGATTTCAACACAGCAAACAAAGGCGGTTACAGAAGAAAGTGTTCTAATGCTAAACACAGAAAAGAGAAATAAATCCAAAGAGAGAAAGAATGAGAGAGTTGGTCAATGCTTTGTTTTTAAGGAATGGAGGGAAAGAACAAACAATTCAAAACTCCCCACTTCCCAATGTTTTTAATAGTACTCGGTTAATTTTGTTAAGTAGCCAAACATTGGTAATTACTATATAGAAGTCAATATTTCAAAAATGCACCATGAAAAAAATATTTAATAAGGGTAGGAAAATGAAATGCAATGAAGAAATGAAGATGCTTGGATTATAAAATGAAAGCATTAAACTGTAAGGAAATTAGAAAAATAAAATTAGTTTAGAAAAAAGGGTTTAGAGAAAAATCTTTAAATTGATTTGTTTTTAAATATAATTAACATTTTTTTTAAGTTTACATGTAGCTCCAAATAATAAAAGAAGTGAAAAATTTCAAATGTTTTCAAGTCAGAAAAAAAAAAATTAGAAATCTATAAAGGGAAGAAATTGTTTTTTTTTTTAAATTTAGCAACTTGAGAGTTTTGAAATTTTAAAATCATTAAAATGTTCTAACTCTGTCACCTGGTACCTTGCTCTACTCATCTTGGTGACTGTAATAACTTTGTTTCATGCTTATAACCTTGTGATAGATGAAGCAAGCTTATTAAAGACCAATAACTGAAGCAGTACGAAACAGGACATAAAACTAAGAAAAGTTGCTTGTCAGTCATTTTCAGTGAAATCTGTGTTACAGATTACTACCCAATTGCATATTATATATATATATATATATATATATCTTCAAGATAGGTCACTTGATAAGACATCTGAGGTGTTGAAACAAAATGGCTATTTTTGTAGTGATTTTATAACATATTTATGTTATAACTTTTAAATAAATAATTATATATATATATATATATATATATATATATATATATATATATATCTCACTTAACATTTCATCACTGAGAAAAAATAATGAGCCTTTACATTTTTATTTTCTCTGAATAAATGAAAATTGTTCTACTTATTCCAAGTTCGGTTCATGTTTAATGACAATCTCATTAAAGGCAAACATTTACAATATTTTTTCATTCCATGACACAAACTCTCATGAGAATATATGAGTTGCATGCAAGATAAAAGACACTAAAATGGAACTATAAAAGAAACTTGTTCAAAGTGAACAAGTCCTGCAATGATGTGGATTTGAGGAGTTAGGTTATCATCAGCAGAAAGAGTAAAGCAAGAGGACAACAACTGCAATTCTATCAAACACTTTTTAGAGTATATATATATATATATATATATATATATATATATTTACACACACGCGCACACATGCGTGTGTGTGTGTGTGTACAAAGAAAGAAAAATATCTCTTTGTTTGCACAGTCAAGCACAAAGAGACAACAGGTTTCTCCAAGGTATTAGTAAAAAGGCTTCTTGGTGAGAGGGGGGGCATTAGTATATAAAAAAAAAAAAAAAAACAAAACAAAAAAACATCGTAAATAGCCACCTAAATTATCTCAAAGCTCAGATAGAATGATACAAGTCTACATAGACAGGTTACTTTTGTAAATCGGGAAGGGAAAAAAAGAAATGAGAGAAAGAAAAAAAAGAGAAAGGAAGGAAGATGGAAGTAATGAGGGGAAGGAAAAACAGAGTATTAATGGCAATAGGAAGAGTCAAGTATATATATATATACACACACACACACACTCACACATATATGAATATGTGTGTATATTTGTATATATTATATATACACAAATTATATACATATATGTAAGTTCATATTCACAAATGTATATTCATATATATATGTATGTTGGGTATTGGCTTTTAAAATGTGTACAACTTTGAATTGAGTGCCTAAAATTTTCAATTAAAATATGAAAATCCTACAAAGTCAACTAATCACCTAATTACTTCTTTTTACACTTTTCTACAGGTTCTTCTGACTGATCAACTTTTCCTAATTTTTACTATAGTTGCTCGGTGATATTGAGCATTTTCTTGACAAAATTCTACTCATCTTTCATATGTTAAATTTTAATAATTAATGTTTTTGTTGGGTATAATTGCTTTGTGTGGTGCTTATTATGATGATGAGTATGAAACACAAATATAGACATATTGGTATATAAATGCCAAAACCTGTTTCAATTATAAAGTTATAAAACTATTAAGAAAGTATCAATTTTGAATTCAAATAGCTGTTATCAGTTTATATAAACTGTAATTTTTGTTTTCCCCTTTTTTACACGTCCTTGTGCCTGACCTAAGGGAAACATATGACAATGACATGCTTACATTTGCTTAGAATTTTAATAGAGAAATTATAAAATATATTGGTCAACTATTGATACTCCCACCACACACATGTAGGTATATGAATACATACACAACATGAGTACTCTGGTGTCATTAAAATACTGATTTTAGGAAGTGGGTTGGACTGAGAACTTTTCAGCAAACCCCTAGTTTTAAGAATATTATACCAAGGAATATCTCTTACTATATTAGAGATTAGGAATAAAGATCATGCTCCACAAAAAAAAAAAAAAAAAAAAAAAAAAAGTGAGTGTTGCAGCTAAAAAATGCATAAATCTAGCAGACTGGTTCTAAAGAAAACTTTTCAGAGATCAAAACTTCAGTGTGAGCAGGAGTCAAAAATAAATAAAATTCAGATCTAAAAATTCTATGATGGCATTCTTCTTCCTGCACAACGGAAATAAGAAAGCTTTTTAAGATTATCTTAATACAACATTTCCTGTTTGCCTAATGCATTGAAGAGATGTAAATCTTTGGCTTTCATATACAAATAATCTCCAGAGTTTAAGTAGATTAAATTAAACCCCAATTGGAAGCTGCAGTAAAACTGAACATCATTTTCAGCCATACATATTCAGATTAACACTGTACCCTTAAAACTTATTAACTTTCTCTGGTTTTTAGTATTAAGTTCAGAGAAGCATCAAAAGACACTGAGCGGAATTCAGTAAAGTAATTTTTAATGATTTGATAGTTGAATAAACTACTATTTTCTTAGATAAAACCTAGGAGTAAAGGAGTGCCATCTTTCCTAAACTTGTGACAAAATGTTCTGCAAAACTTGAAAAATAAAGATATGAAATTGCAGAATTAGCATTAATTTTCTCAACTTATTTTTCAAAAAAAGATTCATCAAAAAATAAAAAAAAATTAATTATATAAACAATATATTCAAAGTTGTACACTTTTCTGAATATCCTATAACACTTATAGAATATGATCACGTCCATTTCATATGCAATTCTTGATGTACTTTTAAAGTACTTCATTAAATCGCAGACAAAAAATTCACACGAGCAAACTTTGACAAGTCTGTTAAAAAAAAATTTATCAGTTTTTTTTCATTTTATTTAAATATTATCATTAATCATGAGACTATAAACGGCTACTGAATATTCTGAATGCTAGAAATCAAGAACCTTTTATTCAAACATTTGCTCTCATGAAAACTTGCCAGCCAGCATATATTTTTAAATGTTTTCTGCTATCAAAGAAAGACAAAAAATACATCTAATTTTTTTTAAAAAATAAGCCAAAGACCAAACATACATATATATGTATTCAAATATACATTCAATTCACACATGTGTAAGTTTATATATTTATATATATATGCTTTTTATACATATCTACATATTGATATGATGAGGGGTCATTAGGACTCACTAAGTTGATTCAAATCAATCCCGGCTGTGCTCTGTGCTGTGGGTGAGGAAACTGACTGCTGCTGCTGTTGGGGTTGAGAAGTGAGGGAAAGCTGCTGGTGGGGTGGTGGCTGTGGGGCCGGGATGCCTGCTCCCCCTGTGGTTGATCCTGAGCCAGTGCCCCCTGCCAGGACTGATGGCACACCACCACTGTTACCCTTTTGCTGCTGCTGGTGCTGCACAGTAGCCTGAGGGGTGGGTGACCCCTGACCTGTGCATACATAAAAACAATGGTAAGAAAAACAGGGACCAGTTAAATGACCTCTGACCTGCGTATAGAAACAAACAAACAAGAATGGACGGAGGTCAGTTGCTCACTCCTCCGTTTCCAATCTTGGGAATTATATTATTTAACTTTTTTTAAAGATATAAAAAAAAAAAAAATGAACTTCTATCGGTTGTTATCAGCTTTGCTTAAGAAAAACATTAAAAAAGATTGTGTAATCACATGCAAAAAGGATAGATAGAATAGTGTGTGTGTAATTGTGTATATGAGCAGTGAAGGGTGTCCGAGTGTGTATCCCTCTCTTTATATGATGTGTTGATATTAGAATATTGCAGAAGAGAGGGTTTTGGAAACTCAAACAAGAAAGAGAGTCATGGAATACACAAAAAGAAAACTAAATAAATTCTAAAGTGTAAAGCTAGATATATACATTAATAAAAACACTTCTATTCAATTATACCCATATTTATACTTTTATTTAAAACACACATACACACACAGAAAAATATTTTAATGATTTTATTTTTATCACTTTTTTATCTAATTTCTGTCTGAATTTCTAAAATAAAGAGACATTAAAATAAACTTATTTAAATTAATATCCTTATGTTGGTTGTCATAGACATAACAATCTACCTTTCTACAGATGCTAATTGTAGTTAGTGACCCTTTTGGAAATTTTGAATCAACAAAGATAAACTGTTCTTATTCTACTATCAGAGGATATTTCATTAGTTAATTCATCCTTATGATGCAAGTTGGGTTCAGTTCATTGAACCAGAATATATCAATTTCACTGCCTGAGTCAGGGATTGAACATTTACTCGTTGTCCTATAGAATAATAAAATGGCAAAACAAGTTAAGAACAATTATTTCATACAAGATATCCTTGAGCAAAGATGGTGGAATAATAAAAACAACCAATTCTCACAGTGTCAAGTGAATAAAAACTTTTTTTTTCAAATTCTTCATGTTACGAACTACAACAAGTGGTAAACAACAACCAAGATAAGGATAACAGTTTGAATAAATCACTGTATAACTTTTGGTTTCATTTTCCTTTTTTCAATAAAGATTGGAACAAGAAAAAAAAATGTATGTATTAAATAATAAAACAGAAGAAAAAAAAGTCCCCAAGACAACAAGAATTGTCTGATTTTCAAAGTCTGAAGAATAAGAATGTTTTTCAATAGAATGAACTCAAAGGAGACAATTCTAAAATGACATGCTTTCTGATCATTTGCAATATATTCTACTCAATGTTTTCAGAAAACAATTGTTATACTTAAATAAATAAAAAGAAGTAATAATAATGATTTATAAACATCTTTCTCTAAGGTAATCCTAACAGCTGATAAGAAATGTCAGGTTCTTTTACTGAAAGAGTGGAATATTGCAGAAATAACATTGTGATTGAACATTCTTGTTCATAACATCATAGGAGAGCAGGTACTACTTCAATTCTAAATAAAGAAAAAAATACATTACTTGCCACTAATAATAATGATAATTTCAGGAACATTATAATTGTTAATATGAATGAGGAAAATGAAAATAAGTTTAAAATAAACGAGAGCAATAAAAACAAAACATCATCATCTGCATTAATATATCTTGCAGAAAAATAAAGCAATGTGCCAGGGAAGGACAAGAAAATAACAAAAGGTCAAGATAACAACTGAAAGACAGAATCAAAAAAAAAAAAAACAAAAAAAAACAAAGCCAAAATACCGAGGCAGATAAATAAATAAAAAAAATTTAAAAATTAAAAACAAGGAAATAAATCTTAAAACATTCTAGAAATATTAAAGAGTTAGTTCCATGAAGACACATACAGCTGGACAAAATCTGAAGGATTGATTGAATTTTTTTTTTTTTTTTTTTGTTAAAGCTTATCAACCCTATTGTGGTTTATTTAAAAACAAAATATTTTCGGGATTGTAAAAACAATTTTTTTTAATTGAATATTGTGTTAGAAATTTTTGGGAGGTAACTAACTTTATCAGATACAAGTTCTACTATTTAACCCATATCTAGGGGGAGAAGAGATGCATTCATACATTTCCCAAGGGTATTTGAGTGTAAGTGAATGTGACAAACTTGACTGGAATTTGAACTTTGCTCTCCGAATTCTCATTCCAAGCCACAATCCATTGCACCATCCATGCATCTTTCAAAATTTGAGGAGAGACATATGAACAAGAGATAAAGCAAGTTTCAATAAACTTTCAAATCTCGGTTTACATGAGTTCTTTAAATTTTTAATAACTCCTAATTTTTTTTTTTTTTGGTCTGAATTTCTGGGATGAAGAGCTATCATTATTTACGCTATTTACATTCAGACTATTGTCCTTATCATTCTTGTTTTTTTATTTTTTTTATCATGTTTTAGTCATTGTACCCTCCGGCCTTCTTCAGGTGCATATCGATCTGGATAACCTACAGAGAATTCTAAACTGAATCCTTTATTTAATCAATGAGGGTAAACTGCTCTCATTCTACTACTCATGTCTAAGAATATCTTGTCTAGTTCTTATTTTATTTATTTAATATTGATCAGTTATTGCTTGCCTGTTTCCGCTGAGTTCAATCCCTAGATTGAGCAGTATGTACTTGCACTCAGTGGGAACAGGTGAGCAATAACTGAACAGTAAACAAAAGGATGCTGGAAAAATTATTAGCCAGACCAAGAATCCACCCCAACACCAAAAAAAAATAAATAAATAAATAAATAAATAAATAAATAAAAATAAACAACTACTGATGTTTGGTCATATAAAATTTTAAGAGAGTATCCCTTTGTATAAGTCTGCTAATGCTCTTTTTCCACGGGTTAAAAAAAAAAAAAAAAGGTTAATTTATCAACCATTTCAAATTTAATCCTTTAACAGGAGATTCAGTGAAGGAAACGTAGGAAAGACCCACAAATTGCAAACAGAATGATTTTTATTGCTATGAAACAATTAATATTGTCATTTTATTTCCCAAAAAAGCCTTTAAATAAGTCCAGTTATGAATCCACAAATTTACAGCCTGTTCATGAAGTTCCAACTAAAACAATCTAATGAAAATCCAAGATTTTTTCGAAAAATCTAAATTACAAAATAGGTTTCTGATTTTTAAAACCGTATTAATCACATTATATCTTGATTCTTTTATGCTGAAGAAAACTGAAAAAATATCTATGCAGATGATACAAGAGTTGATAGGTGCACTGCCAAAAATCTGGATAAACAGAACCAAGCAACTAATCTGTACTTTGATCAGTTTTTTAGGAAGTGAGAAATGCTGAGAAATTTTCATCAACCACCCGCCCTGCACACAGAAAAATCCCTAGACAATCAAGATGATTTACAAAAAGAAACAGTAAAGAGTAGCAAGAGAATGAAGATGGATGTAAGCTACCTTTTGGTGGTGGTAGCAACAAGGACACAGATGTAAGGAGACACCTGGCTGCAGCAGGCAGGCAAAGCATAAGGAGACACCTGGCTGCAGCAGGCAGGCAAAGCATAAGGAGACACCTGGCTGCAGCAGGCAGGCAAAGCATAAGGAGACACCTGGCTGCAGCAGGCACGCTGGGCATAAGGAGACACCTGGCTGCAGCAGGCACGCGGGCATAAGGAGACACCTGGCTGCAGCAGGCACGCTGGGCATAAGTGGGGAGACACCTGGCTGCAGCAGGCACGCGGATGTAAGGAGACACCTGGCTGCAGCAGGCATGATGTAAGGAGACACCTGGCTGCAGCAGGCACGCGGATGTAAGGAGACACCTGGCTGCAGCAGGCACGCGGATGTAAGGAGACACCTGGCTGCAGCAGGCACGCGGATGTAAGGAGACACCTGGCTGCAGCAAGGACATGGATGTAAGGAGACATCTTGTAATAGTGGAAGGAAGAGGGACATAAGACAACATTTAGTGCTGTGCAGAGAAGGATAGGTTATGATTTGGTAGAAAGATTGTCATCAGAGAAGATAAGAGAACAATACAAGTGTGTGTGTGTGTGTGTGTGTATGTATTTGGTGGAGGATGACATATATTAATATCGTAAACAATACTGGAGATGACGCGATAAAGTGAAATGGGCCTACCCTGAATAAGATGTGATCAAACATCAGTGGTGTTTCTCTTTACACCCCACTAATGTGTGTGCATATATTTTGTATATTTGGACAGAAAACTTTCTTTTATACACGTTTCATTAAATAAGACAGGCAAGTAGGAAAAATTTTTATAATGTTTTTCTATTTTTCTTATAGTTACTTAAATGATCTCAGTTATATAAAACTCTTGGGCACCCACACCCATCTGTCTGTCCCCACAAGAAAATTTTTTGTTGATAACATCATTATTCTAGAAAAAAAAAAAAAAAAAACAATTATAGAATATGTCTTAAGATAATTGAATCTATATAAAACAGTTTAAAATCAATCAACCTTATCCTATTCAACAGCAATAGTAACATGTTTCCAGTCTTTTAACAAACATCTCAACATGGATTCATAACCACATCTCTTCTCGCACAACTTAGAATTTCTATTTCCAAACAATACAACAAAATAGTAACAACAAACACCTTGAAAATAGCCAATGAATCGGCCAAAACTACTTGGGACAATAATCACTGCAAACGGTTTCTATACTCTCTTACCCTCCCAAAGAAGAAAACTGTAAGAACATAAGAAAAACTTACACAAGTCATGATTTCAAGAGTTATTATTTTATTAATCATCAGGAAATGTAATTATATTTTAAATTTATATAAATAAATGAATATGTATAAATTATAAATAACTAGAGATATTTCACAAATTAATTATTTACACACAAGTCCATGTTTTGAACAAAAGAGTTTTGCTAGACATGAATTCCCATAAAGTTTGTGTCCACAATTGAGTTGGTTATTGTGAATTTATTATTAAAATAACAAAAATCAAAGAAAAATCATAATTCCATTCCTAATAAACGTAAGCATAACTAACCAAATTCTAAAGTTTATCTAACACATTAATTAGACATTAAATATAGAATTATTTAAAATAAATCTTCTATTATAATAGTGGCACATGAATTTAATTCATTAAGAAATCAGCCAAAGATTAGATATAAAGGTAACCATGAATCTCAGAGTTACAATTCATTATTCTATTAACAATTATTGTTGTTATTATTATTATTATTATTATTATTATTATTATTATATAATATGGATAACCAACTTCAAATTTCAGTCTAGTCATTTTTTTTCACTTAGGTGCATATATTCTTGGCATGAATCTATCTTTTCATCTTCCCCCTGGCTATTGGATAAATAGTACAGCCCTTTAATTTTGGTGGTAACCAGCCTAGGAGAAGGACAAAAAACTGGAGGTGGGTCTTTTAGAGACCTTGTGGCACACTGTGCACCACTTCTGTATTCAGTTCCTCCAAAAAGTGTGGGGTTGGTTCTACACAAGCTTTCAGAACTATAATCAAATTATATATGCAGGTAGTCTGGCTGTTCACTTGTAAGAACTGAGATACTGCAGCCTCATTCATTGAAAACAACACAAGTCCAATGTGTGTGTGTGTGCATTTGTATGCATGTGTGTCCTAGCCATCACTATGACTCTTACACACTTTAATGACTCTCCCTTTTTCCCCATGGGATAACTCACCTACTATTGGGGCTTCATTTCTGTCTCCCTCAATAACATTCCATTTCATAAGTAGTTGTTTCTTAAAAACCCCCTCCCATTCATAAACCCCCTTGCTTTTTCCCCAATTTTGTTTCTTCATATGCTTTTCACTTTATTTTTACGTCATATGCCAAAAAGAAACGGCCTTAATCCAAGAGCTAAACATGGATTTAATTAACCAAATTTCTCTTCCTTTAAACTTATTCTATCAAAGGAATCCTGTTCCTTGATGATATCTGCCATCTGCAGGGTTTGATTTCAGCCGAGTAATTGATGCTCTGCCTTATGTGTCTTTATGGCTTATCTCCAGAAGCAAAGACCACCAAGAAGGCAAGTTCAAAACTGGCCTGTTAAATTTCTCAGATTTCAATTAGAAGAAAACTTGTGTTTAGGAGAAAATTAAGGACCTCCCTCATACCCAGCAAAAAACTTTTTTTCTTTCTTTTTCAAATGTCAAATTTTGGTTCTGAAAGAATTCTATAAGAATAATAAATATTTGAAAAGTTTTTTAATTTTAAGGGAGATTTGTTTTTTTTGGTGCACAAATGTCTGCTTCAACATTTTAATTATTAATTGAGAATTTGCTTCTTTTCATTTTTATTGGAAAGTTTCCTCAATGCATATCTGCCGACAGTTTTTATTTTTCCATACATTGTGACTATTTTCATTTAAGTCAACATTTTTTTTTGCCATTTCAGATGAAAACTTTCCAACATATTTCAGAGATATTTTTTCTCACCACAAGCAAGGTGATAATACCACTAAGACACAAGGGGTTACTGGAGTGAAAAAATAATTAGAAAACTTTAGAGAAGAGAAAGGACAATAAAAAAACAGTATTCAGGAAGACAGATGATGGTGACTGATGTTGCATTTAAATTTTTGAAGATCATTGTTGATATGAAAACAAGAAGCTGGATAAGAATTCCACACTATTAGAATAGAACCGACACTTACATCTATTTTAACAGTAAAACGATGATACCTGACTTCTAATGTAGTAGTACGCTTAAATTCATGCAATTGAAATATGAAGGAGGAGATAGATAAATTATCAAGAAAATATTTATAGAAAAGGTACAGGGAAGCCATGTCAAGGCAGTGCAAAAGTGAATGAAGTTGAGATGCCAAATCAGGATCATTAACATTGCAGACCCATCTTTGAATTTTGTCAAGACATGAAGCAGGAACACTAGAGCAGATATGGCAGCAGACCTAACAGTCAACTCACTATAATCAATGCCATTTTTACTGCCAGTTTTACTTTATCAGAGACCTATATATTGTTATCAAATTCTGTTCAAGAAAGTCACAAATAAAATATACTTAGTGGAAAAGAAAACGATTATTGAATTTAATATTAAGACAAGAGTAAATAATTGTGTCATCAGCATAAATACCAAGTGATGACATTGGGAAAGTCATTGATGAAGATAAGAAACAAGATTGGTCAAAGGATAGAGTCCTGCAGGACCCCTACATTAATGTGAAAGGATCTAGAGCAGGGGTCGGCAAATCATTCGACCCCGCGGGCTGGATCGTGTTATAATGACGGGTCACGGGCCGGACAAAGGCCATTAATGAAAAATTAAGGAAAATTACATATGCAGACCCCTATCAACCTAAATATTTAAAACCATAATGAAAATAAACATTGAGAAATCAGAAAAACAAAAGAAAATCTAAAATTAAAAAACACCTAACAAAAATTACTTTTCCTCAAGGAATGTCAAAATACTTCAAAGTGAAAAAAATCAACTGAAGTGAAATTATGACGTGTAGGTTTGAAACTGTCATTGAAAATTATTTCACAAACAAACCACACACACACATCAAACAAAAACGAAGCATATATACCCATACATACAAGTACAATTAGTTGCAAACATATACACTCACATACGTACACATGCGGTATCATCCACACATTCATGAGGCATGTATGTATAATGCGTGTATGTTTAACTGTCTTTAGATTTCTGCTACCTCGCATGTCAGTCCCTCTCTGGCCTCTTTCATTTTATCGTTCATTGAATTTTCTGTTATCTTTTTAATGTAGCCAAGGGTCATAATAAATATGTATCCATTATTTGACATTAAACGTAGGCAATGCAACTTGGTAAAATAAGTCTCATGAAAGATAACTGGCAGATAGTCTAATATTTTTAGTGCACTGAGATGTGTAGACATTCTATGGAAAATGACATATAACAAATTTCATTTGAAGGTCGTCTCTCATGTTAAAAATGGAGTCATTGGTAATCAGGCTTGCGGGTCGGTCAAAATGCCTTCGGCCTGCAGGTTGCCGACCCTTGATCTAGAGGAATGGCCATACAATACAACTCTCATTACATGATTTGTTAAGAATGATTAAATCAAGTCAAATATTCAGACAGAGACACTATAGTTCTTCAGGTTGTGATGAAGACCACCATGCCAAACTGTCAAACACAGTCTTCTAGTGTCTTTTCATATGTAAACATGAGGAAACATGTCACTTTTTTGACAAAATGAAAGTCTTTTTAGCATTTTTACTTCTTATTGCACCCCCAGAAATCCACAAGGAATAATAAAAGTTAATGTTGAATTATTTATATATTTTTTTATGTATTTGTTTTTTATTTTGAGTTTCAATTTTTCATCTTTTGCAAAAGTTTTTCAACCACCAAATTTTCCAAAAGTTATGACTAAAGAGCCATGGAATTTTACACAAACAGTAATATTTCCCCAAAAGAAAAACCTTATTGATATTTTCATTTGCTTTTGTATTCTCATGTGATAGATGAAAAGAACATTTTTGTTTATGTATTTTAGGCCCCAATCGTCATAACTGACGATCTGTTCTAATCGCTTCATTTTGCCAATAATATATTGCAAAGGAAAATAACAAAACATTAAAAAAGCAATTAGAATGAAATAAACCAATTATTGTAAAATAAACTCAAATAATTCTATTTTCTTGCTAACATAATAGAAGCATTTGATATGCATTGACTTTTGTGTGCCTAAAACACAAACAACAAGTGTTTAACTTTGCAATCTATCATTCAAGTTTGTTTATCACAAGGTAGTCTGATTGCTAAGGGAATATGCAATTATTTTGCTTCGCTAGAGTGAATGCAGCTTGAAATCACACTGCACATATTCATCTCTTTTAATGGGAATTTCATTTCAGGCACTTCAATTGTTAGTCATAAAAAACTGCACAGTTAAATAAACAACTGGAAAAGTTGGTTA